GAGTCCTGGCAAACCCGGGTCTTACGCTCCCCCGAAAGAAGTGGTGATCCTTCTACTAGTGATCCCCTTTGCACTGCCCGACACCTCTGTGGACGCGGGGTGGTCGAGGCCGCCGAGGTGCGGCTGGGAGAACACGGTGCCGTTGATAAAGGAGAGCTCGTGCAGGACCTGCAACGGCCGGTTGGCCACCTCCTGGCTCATGATCCTCTCCACGATGGCGCACTCCTGGAGGCAGAGCAACGCCATGACTACAGTAGGCCCATACGATGACAAACCCTGCTAATGAAAAACTCTTGGGGCACACTCTTCGGCGATTTTTTGAGAAACCTAGGGTGCCGGGAGCATCTGTGGGTCCTTGGGGCCATCGGGGAACAAGAAACTTCCGATGGGGCAAATGCTGGCAGGCCGATGTCATGTTTGAGGTGCCAACTGCACTAAGTGTCGGGACTCCACGGGGCTTTCTTGATGTGCGGAGCGCGCATCTAGGGCGGCGCCGGACACGCCGCTTGGAAACCTCACGCCGACCCGACAGGTTAAAGCTGAACACCAAACGTTGACCAAACGTTGCTATGTTCACGTGCAGCTCAACACGGTCACGAGGAGGAGAAAGAGGAGGAGGAGGAGGAGGAGGAGGAGGAGGAGGAGGAGGAGGAGAAGGAGAGGAGGATGAAGCGAGGAGGAAGCAAGGAGGAGGAGGAAGAGCCATCGAAAAGAGGAACGAGGAGGAGGAGGACCAGTGTAAACCCAAGAGTCACCAACGATGTTGGAATAAACCCTCCCCCAGGCTCCTTCCTCACAGGCCCCTACAACGGTTCACTTCCACAGAGTGGCCTGCCTCGTTGGAAGACAACCGTTTGAAGACCTTAAAGCACGCCAAAGCATTATTCTCGGTATTGCACCGCCACGGATGAACCTGACTGTTGCGTCTTGACGATCCTGAATAGTGCCAGACGTCATTCCTGGGACCTCAACTCCGCGAAATCATCTTAAGCGTTGCGCCCTCAAAATCGTGAATCCTTCCCAAACACGTTCTCTGGTACGTCGATCATAGGAATCCGTGAAACTCTTGCACTGTTGTATCAAGAATGTGCGCGGCTAAGGCGAGAACCACAATTTGAAAAAGAACAACCCTCAATCCGTGAAACTTTTGCAATTTGTTTCAAACGAATGTGCGCGGCGCTACGGCGAGGGCCACATTTTGAAGACGACCCGCCCTCAATCCGTGAAGCTCTTGAAATTGTTTGTTAAACGAGTGTGCGTGTCGCTAGTGCGAGAATCACATTTTGAAAACCAACCGCCCTCAATGCGTGAAACTCCTGCAGGGTTTGAAAAGAAATGTGCGCGACGCTAAAGCGAGAACCATATTTTGAAAACGACCCGCCCTCAATCCGTGAAACTCTTGCACATGTTGAAAACGAATACGCGCTGCGCTAAGGTGAGAGCCGCATGTTGAAAACGACCCGCCCTCCATCTGTGCAGCTGTTGCCAATGTTTAAGCTTCAGGGTCATAAATGGTAAGAAGTCTCAAGCGAAACGCCCAGCCCGCCCTAAAAACTGGCCTCGTGGTGTGACAGGGGGAAACTGTTCATGAGGTGAAAGAACGGAAGAGGAAGCGAGGAGGAAGCGAGGAAGAGGAGGATGAGGCGACGAGGAGAAGGAGGAGGAGAAGCCTAGTGAGCCCAGGAGTCTGGGTCAAAAGCAAAGAACCCCTGCGCCGAAGGCCTCCTCCTCTTCCTCTTCCACCTCCCCCTCCTCCTCCTCCCCCGCCTCCTCTTCCTGCCCCTCTTCCTCCTCCTCCTCCTCCTTCTCCTCCTCCTCCTCCACCTCGCTTCCTCCTCGTTTCCTCCTCCCCCTCCTCCTCGCTTCCTCCTCGCTTCCTCCTCCTCCTCCGCATCCTCCTCCTCCTCCTCCTCCTCGCTTCCTCCTACTCCTCCTACTCCTCCTCCTTCTTCTCCTCCTCTTCCACCTCCCCCTCCTCCTCCTCGTCCTCCTCCTCCTCCTTCTCTTCCTCCCTCTCCTCCTCCTCCTCCTCCTCCTCCTCCTCCTCCTCCTCCCTCCTCCACCTCCTCCTCCTTTTCTGTCTCCTCTCCTCCTCCTCCTCCTCCTCCTCCTCCTCCTCCTCCACCTCCTCCTCCTCCTCATCGTCCTCCTCCTCGTCCTCCCCCCCTCTTCCTCCTCCTCCTCCTCCTCCTCCTCCTCCTCCTCCTCCTCCTCCTCCTCCTCCTCCTCCTCCTCCTCCTCCTCCGTGGAAGTGATTTGTACCCAGGGGCGTGGCACCCTGATCAACTATATGGTAGTATCCGCTGATCTTGGATAATATGATGCAGTATCTACCTATACTCCGAGCCCCTTTCAAGACTCATGTATGTCTCGCGATATCCCTGAAACATGAAGCTCTTACACAAACCATGTGGAAATGCCTGCGGCCTCTTCCTGTTCCAGTGTGCAGTGATCATGACTGGCCCTGGAGCCAGATTTTGGTACAGTTACCTGCGGTCGCACCACATTTTTTGCAGTCTGCTCTCCTGCCGCACCTGAGTGATCACCTGAACGACGACCTTACCAGTAAGTACCTGCTCTGGTCCGGGGCGACCGAGGCCATGTTTGAGTCCCGTGTGGTCGCTTCTGACTTGAAAGATAGCTGTGTTCATCGTGGAGATTTCCATGCCTTCAAGACCACCACCATTGCTCGGAGGGATCCCGAGGGCCAGAGTTTTCGTGAACCTGCCTTGGCCTTTTGGGCCCACCTGTCCCAGAAATGGTCTGCGTACCGTATGGGTCTGGCAAGGAAATCCACACGAATGATCAACAGCATAGGCGCTCACTTGCAAAGCCTCACTGACAAGATTGGCCAGTATCTCCATGGTGATTTCCCCGTGGCCTTGAATGGTGGCAGGCCCAGTTGAGCGAGGCGCCCACGGAGGTGGCTATGCTTGACGACCTGTCTGACGCGATCTCTCCCTGCATGCGAGCGGCGTGGTCAGCGGCACGGGCGTCCTCTAAAGCTGGGATGAAAAGTTGGCTCCTTAAGGCCCTCCCCAAGGGCGCCAAGAAAGTTCATGCTTGGTTGAAACACGATTTAGGGGACGCACCCCCAGGTTTTGGTTTCCCCAGCTGGCGTTAAAGAGCTGCCTGTGAACCGACATGATGCAGCATCGCTCTGAATGTTGGACTCGTGTTTGGGACTCCCCCGACGCTCGAGCTAACCTGTCGGGAGTTTTGGGCACCCCGAGGCCCCTTGCGCTGAGCTTTGCTGCCGGGCAGCCTGAACCGCTCACCGCTGGTGCTGTTTTGGGGGGGGGGGCAGGTGCTTCTCGGCCGAGACTGCTGCTGGGGTTGATCATTGGGCCCCCCGTAGCGTCCTGGACCTCCCCAAGGATGCGGTTGTGGGGTCCACTCTTCGCCTCAACCAGTGCGAGCGACAGATGATGTGGCCCACTCAGGTCCTGCTGAGTATGCTTGCTCTCCTCCCTAAGAGTATTGAAAGTGACAGGCCGATTTGCAAATGCCCCACCCTTTACCGAGTTTACTTTAAAGCTCGCAACCACGATCTGGACTAAGATGTAATTTTTGGGACACTGTCATACGAGGATCTAGTGCCCTTCAGACTGCTCTCTTGCGAAAGCTAGGACACGAGGTCGCCAGAATGCTAGGCCTGTGCTCGGTTGGTGCGCACTGGGACCTGACCCGATGTTTCGACTCTGTGAAGCCGCACAAGCTGATCGAACTTGCGGTTAAGATGGAGTATCCTTTGCACGTGCTCTACTTAGGCATCATGGTTCACGAAGCTCCACGTCTCCTTGAAGTTGGTGGTTATGTTTCGGATATCATTGAAGGGGGGAAATGGAACTTTAGCAGGCTGTATGCAAGCCATAGCTTGGGTGAAAGTCTATGTTGACGATATCCTGGATTGTGCTCGTGTCCATTACAAGCCAGTGCATGTGAAAGGGTACGTTGATGACAACACGCAATCCCAACGTGGCACTGTACATGACAGTATTGCCGCCCTCGTTCCTGCCGCTGTGCATCTCACCCACCAGCTTCAGAGCATTGGGTGCTCTATCTCGAACAAGTGCGCCCTGGTGTGTAGCCACAGCAGCCTTGGCAAGCAGCTTGCGGAGAGATTTAGAGCAGTTGGCCTCCCTATCAAGCTCCAGGACTCGGCGCGCGATATGGGGGTCATGACGACGGCTGATAAGAAACGGCTCACTCTTAAGTTGAAGCAGCGGCGTAGCCAGGCCTCCAAGAAGGCCAAGACGGTCGCCTTTCTGAGTCGTGTTGTTAGTAGGGCTAGGAAGCTCTACAAACCTGGGGTTCTGGCGGTCGGTTCCTGGAGTCACCAGGTCTTAGGCCTCACTGGGGGCCAGATCCAATATATGAGGGCTCAAGCGGCCATGTGCTCGGGTTGGTGGACCCTTGGGGCCTGCACGACCTCGGTCCTGGGAGTAGCGAGCTCAGCCAAAGATGACCCTCAGTTTAGGCTTCGCTATGAGCAGCTGGTTGCTTTCCACTCGGTTTGGTTTGATTTGGATCATAAGCAACGTGTGGAAGTTGCTCGGTGTTGGGATCTTGTTGTGGATGCCTTCAGCAAAACGAAACATCGGTGACAGAAGTTGCGTGGACCCCTTGCTGCTACTATCGCCGTGCTCCTCGACTTAGGCGTCGTGCCCCGCAGCCCTGCTGCTGGATCTTCCCAGGCGACGTGTGGCTGCGCCTCAGCGACGACGCGTTCCCCCATCAATTGTGGCGGGAGCTGATTGTCCTGTGCTCCGCGCTGTCTTGGTGCACGGCCTCCAAGCATTATCCAAGATCAGGTTTGGAAGGAGGAGTTGAGTTCACTGTCCCTCGTAAGCTTTTGAACAACAACTCGAGAAAGATGGCTCCTTTGAGGCCGCTGGTATGGTCCGTAACGGTTTGACCGCTGGTTTTTGGACTGACCATCGGCTCAAATGTGCAGGCTACGACTCAGCCACCTCAGGCCTCTGCCCTAGATGCGACATTGCTCCTGAGACCGCGTTGTTTTGGTGCTGGCAGCGTAGACACAATGACGATATTCCCGACTCTGCGATTTGCCGATCGGACAGTTTGAAAGCTGATGCTGTCGCCGATCCCGACTTTGTGAGTTTCTGGCTCCGTGACCTGCCGCCCCTCATGCCAGTTGTGGCCACCTCCCTACGCCTGTGCAAAAGGGACGGGACTGGGGGTGGGGGGCGTTGGGAAACGGAGCTAAGATGCACGGAGGGGTTTGGGCGATCGATGGTTCGGGGGGGTAAACATCATTTGGACTGGAGGCTCAGGCGCTGTGGCTGGGCGGTCGTCCACCAAGGTGCCGATCCATGTATTGATGGAGTTGTCAGCGGGACCTTGCCCACCGTGGTCCAGACCGCTGGCCGTGCCGAGATTTGTTCTCCCATCCAGTTGCTCGGGGTATCAGGAAGCCCTCCAAGCGTACAGCGAAATCCTCCATGTTGGATCTCTGGGCAGTCTACCATAGGACCTTGAGTTCCCGTGGCGACACCGTTGACGTTCGATGGACGAAAGGTCACCCCACCCAGCCCCAAATGTTCCAAATGTGCATGACCCTGGAGAGGTCTGTCTTAATCGGGCTGCTGAATTTTTCGCGGGCAAGGTCGCTGATGCTGGCCAGGTGTCAGATCCCCACGCCAAGAATACGGTCCAGGCTGATGAGCGGGCTTCCAAAGTTCTTGGACGCATCCTTGCTGTGCAGAGGGAGGCGATGTTTTCCTCGGACTGTGAGCTCCCAAATCGCCCGCACTGCAGTCGTGCGAAGACTTCTGTGCGCAGACTTGACGATAGGCTCTGTAGGCTGCGGGCCTCTGGACACAACTGTGTCGTAAAGTCTACGGCGTTGAAGTGCTCCCTCTGTGCCCGTTCTTTCAGAAAGCGAGGCCCTCTGTGCGAATTCTGGCCTACTGTCTGTAAGCCTCGCTCTGAAGTTCTGCGGCAGGCACCTGACCCGCGGCGAGGTTATGAGGGCCCTCCTGATGACTTGGGGCCTCCTGAGGGCGGAGGGGGTGGGGGTCTCGATCATCCTGGTGCTGAGCTGTGCCACCCTTATCACCACCTTGCCTCTCTTCGTGGAGTTTTGTTATGTGAAGCTTGTGGTCGGCATCGTGCTCTTTTCCCTCACGGTTTGAAGGACCCTTGCGGCCCACCCACGAAAGCTGGGAAAAAAAGCCCTCGGGAACCTGAAAAAAGGGAAGCCTCCGAAATCTGGAGGGAGGTTCCCTGATCTGCAACTTTGCTGCGCGTGCCTAGCCCTGCTGCCAGTCACCACGCACCATCGGTAAAGGTAAAGGTCCTTCTCCTGCTACTCCTCCTTTTCCTCCTCCACCTCCTCGCTTCCTCCTCATCGTCATCCTCCTCCATCTCCTCATCCTCGTCCTCCTCCTCCTCCTCCTCCTCCCCCACCCCCTCCTCCTCGCTTCCTTCCTCCTCCTCCTCCTCCTCCTTCTCCTCCTCCCCATCGCCTCCGCCTCCTCCTCTTCCTCTTCCACCTCCCCCTCCTCCTTCTCCTCCTCCTCCTCCTCCTTCTCCTCCTCCTCCTCCTCCTCCTCCTTCTCCTCTCCTTCCCCGTCCTCCTCCTCCTCGCTTCCTCTCCTCCTCCTCCTCCTCCTTCTCCTCCTCCTCCTCCTCCTCGCTTCTCCTCCTCCTCCTCCTCCTCCTCCTCCTCCTCCTCCTCCTCCTCGCGTCCTCCTCCTCCTCCTCCTCCTCTCCTCCTCCTCCTCCTCCTCTTCCTCCTCCTCCTCCTCCTCGCTTCATCCTCCTCCTCCTCCTTCTCCTCCTCCTCCTTCTCCTCCTCCTCCTCCTTGCTTTCTCCTCCTGGTCCTCCTCCTCCTGGTCTTCCTCCCTTCTCCTCCTCGCTTGCATCTCCTCTTCCTCCTCCCCCTGCTCTTCCTCCTCCGACGAAGAAGAACAGAAGGGCACCCTCCCTAGACGAAGTCAGGGACCTGGGCTCTGGTTATTCCTCGTGCCTAGAGGCCTCCTAGAGGGTGTCGGAGTAGATGGGGTCGAAGGACCGCAACGCATCGGCGATGCATCGGCAACGCATCAACGATGCATCGGCGACGTCGGCGATGTATCGGCGGCGTCTGCGTGAAGCAATTCGGGCTCCACATCGAGCAGCATCGGCGATGCATCGGCGATGCGGCGCGATGCTTCGACCACATCTACTCCGAACCCCATCTAGGAGGCCTAGAGTGCCAAATGCAACGGTTTGTTGTTCGAACTCCTCCGCACTGTCTGAGGACCAGATCAATGACAGCTCGGCCCGGAGCGCGACCGCCACTGCAGCGCGGACCTCAGCCTCAGGCATGTGCGCGCCGATCTCGATGTGGGGATTGCAGCCGTCCTCTGTGAGGTGGTACTTCAGCGTCACCGGGAAGGTCCGGATCAACTTCAGCGCGCACTGCTTCGCCCTCTCCACCACCGCTTTCTCGCTGTGCAGGCCTCGCTGAAGCGACTGCAGCACCTGTGCGTCTTGACCTGTTGGCCGTCCGACCCGGGACAGCACCCGGCTCCCCAGCGCCCTGGACTCGTTGATGAGCTGGCCCCACAGATTCCGCCCCTCGATGATCGGGTGTGGCTTTCAGGGCCCCTGCCCCAGGGTGCCCCCAGGATTTCCCCAGAGGCCTCCACGGTCTTGAGAGCACCCCCCCACGAGGCCCAGAGGGCGAAAAGCTGAGGGCACCTTGGGCAAGGGGCACCTTCAGCACACCCCCGAGATGAAGCGGTTGTAGCAGGTCTGCGTCTTGAAGGTGGCCAGCAGGCCAAGGGCGACGGAAGTGATCGTGAAACACTCGAGCGGCAGGCACAGGAGGCCTCGGGGAAGCACACGCTGCAGGAACATGCTCTTTCGGACGCCCGCGCGCGGATTTCTGGACTCCACCGGCGCTGGAACCAGACGAAGCCAGGACGAGGAACAAATCCGGTGAGGATAAGTCGAGGATCTCTGAGATCCGGCGGCTCTGGAGGATGTCTCGGGTGCCGCTGCCTTCTCAGAGCGTTCCAGAACGCCCCGAGAATGTTCCGACATGCTCTGGAAATGATTGATCCTCGTCCTAGCCCCGTCCGGTGGAACCCCCTCCCTGGCGCGCGGAGCGCGCCAGGGGCGGCGCTGGATGCGCCGCCAGGGGGGAGGAGGCCAGCGCGGCTCCAAGAAATTCGCGCGGATCTGAAACGTATCATGGTTGTGCAGTTTGTCTTTCTTTGAGAGCCGTGCTGCACGCAGAGACTGAAGCCCAGCGGCTTCGCCCCCAGGGTCGCACCTGCACCCGACGCGCCCGACGCGAGGCAATAGTTGTAGTACGATCTGCCACTGCGCTGGCAGCCCACCGGCATGCACATCATTACCAGCCTCGAACGTATCCCCATCCCGGAATCCCTAAGATTGACGCGCCAAAAGGCGACGACAATCCTATGGATTCGCCCTCAAAATATAAAGGGAATCCCTAAGATTGGCATCGTGATGAGGAGGTGCCCAGCATAGGGATAGGGATGTGTTCCAGGCCGGTAACATCAAGCCCCAACGTCGCTGCTCGACGTGTGAGGCCCCGTGGGGGAGCAGCAGAGCCAGCCACGAAACTGTCAGAGGCTCACAGCTCAACCTCCTCCTCCTCCTCCTCCTCCTCTTCCTCCTCCTCCTCCTCCTCCTCCTCCCTCCCTCCCTCCCTCCCTCCCTTCCTCCCTCCCTCCCTCCCTCCCTCCCTCCCCGGCTCTGCACTTCCGAGCAAGCGTGGGCCGGCAGGGGGCGTCGAGCCGACTGGGCAGGCTGGCAGGCGCGGCCGCGGCTTGGTGGGGCCGCGGCTTGGCGGCCCCAGCCCCCAATGAGGGGCCCTGCAGGGGCAGCCCCTGGCCTGACTTCGGCAGCCCCTCACGAGGCTGTGCAGAAACGCCCAGCAGGCTCCCCCACCAGAACCCTCGAGGAGGCCCCCGGGACGCGAAAAACACTGGACCTCAGGTACGTCAGTTTTTGATGTCCGCGTTCTGGAGAGCCCAGCCACGATGGCTGCTGGCCGGCCTCTGCACAACCTTCGGGTCTCCCCAGACGCCACCCCAGCCGTGCAGGAGAGTCAAAACATCCCTGGACGGCACTGAGATGGCGCAAAGTTCCCCCTAAGTTGGCACAAGACCCGCCCAAGACGGCACAAAGACCGTCTAAGACTGGCCGAGGACGGCCACTTGAGCCCCTAAACGACCTTCAAGGCTCCTCCGAGAGACCCCGGAAAGTACCCCTGGCATCAAGGCAGGCACACCATGCAACGGCCGTCGAGGAGGAGGAGGAGGAGGAGGAGGAGGAGGAGGAGGAGGAGGAGGAGGAGGAGGAGGAGGAGGAGGAGGAGGGGGGGCGGATGTGCGCAGCTGCGCAACTGGATAATAAACTCGAGGTCGCGCCAACCAGGGCCAGGTCCGGGAAGAGCAGTCTGCGGATGTTGTCGGACTTCACCATCGCGCGCGGCCTCCAGAGGTTCAGGTGTCGGAACGCCTCCTGGTGCTTCCGCCACCGTCGGAAGTCGTAGCTGGAGTCGATGGAGATGCCCCGCAGCCAGCGCTTGACCCTGTTGGTGCCATGCTCGCGGCAGTAGATGACGGTCATGGAGTTCGCCGAGGCCTGCCCCAGGCGACGCTGCGCCTCGAGCTCCGCAGCCAGGCGCTCCTCCGTGTGCTCGCCCCCAGTGGGCCGCGGCCGGGCGGGCCCGAGCCCGAGCCTCGCGTCCGCGGTGCTGGACCAGCTGGAGCTGCTGCGCGCCGTGTGGCCCAGCCAGGCCGCGGCCTCGTCTGGGGACTTCTGGAGGGCCCCCAGGGGGGCCACCAGAGGCCACCTCGTCTTCGTCGTCGCCGTGCGGCCAGGGTCAAGCCAGAATCCGTCTGCCCTGACCCCTCCTGGGGTCCATCCTGAAGAAGTGGTCGAGCTGCGTCGACGTCGACGGAACGCCCCCGAAGAAGCTCCAGAACCTCTGTGTCGACGACACGCCAACGGCGACGTCGACGGGAAAGTCCAGAGACGCCACAGCTTTTCATTGGCGTCTCGGTCTCGCGCGCGGCGTCGAGGCGTAGAACGTCGGACAGCAAATTAAGAACGACGCGCGCGGCCGGCCTCTCAGAAGTTGAGGCATGTCCGCCCCCCCCACCCACACACACACACACATACACACACACACGCGCACGCACGCACGCACGCACGCACGCACGCACGCACGCACGCACGCACGCACGCACGCACGCACGCACGCACGCACGCACCCACACACACACACACACACACACGCACACACACACACACGCACGCACGCACGCACGCACGCACGCACGCACGCACGCACGCACGCACGCACGCACGCACGCACGCACGCACGCACGCACACACACACACACACACACACGCACGCACGCACGCACGCACGCACGCACGCACGCACGCACGCACGCACGCACGCACGCACGCACGCACGCACACGCACACGCACACGCACACGCACACGCACACGCACACGCACACGCACACGCACACGCACACGCACACGCACACGCACACGCACACACACAACATTACCCGGATAGCGGGGCGGTCCACAGCGCGTGAAACGCTTGCGGGAGACGCTTGCAAGGACGCTCCAAAAGGATACTTTTGGGGAGCTTGCGAGCTCGAGACGGGAACTTCGCGGGGGCTCCCAGGGCGCTTCGAAGCAGCTTCTGGAGAACTTCGCGGCACACGCATGGGCAACGAGTAAGAAAACGCGTGCCAAAACACACCGCAACTTCACGAGAATCGCTGCGATGCTGCTTGACCGGCGACGGAGAGGGCTTCCGGGCCACCCCGCGCTGCCGGCTTCTACTCTGAAACGCTCTTAGCTCTCCAAGGAGCTATCTGGAAACAGACCCGCGGACACACAGCGGCAACGAAAACGCTGACGTCCTCGCCACCGCCGTTGTCGCCCGAACCAAGGCCCGTCACGCTACTTTTAGGTCGGGCCTGTCCTCTTACAGGCGGACTGTGGACGAAAGCTTACACGATAACCCAACATATGCAGAAATGTAAAACATGTTCCCTGACTATGTTTTGCTATCTCTGACTATTCCTCCTGTAGAGCGACGTGCCCGAACTCAGGCTACGTCTTCGACCATGGACCCCTTGTTGACCCCTCTGCCTAGTGCGGTCTTTGGCGGTTTTCGGCGGTCTTCGGCGGCCGTGCGGCGATCTTCGCCGGCTTCCCGCGGTCGTCGGCGGCGTCCCGCGGTCTTCGGCGGACTCTGGCGTGGAAGCTGGACGCTCGCGTTTGACAAGGGGTCCAAGATCGAACACCAAGTCAGGCTTTGCAGGATCCTGCAAGATCCAACAGGATCCTGCAGGATCCTGCGCCCTATCCCGGGTCATTGCAACCATGGCTCTGCAGGACCCTGCAGGATCTTGGTGCTCTCACTGACGCACATTTTGTATGGACCCCCGTCTCCTGAGCCCCGAAGACCTCCACAAGAGGCCACTCGGGCAGAGGGATACACCAACAAGGAAGGAAGGGGCCCAAGCACAGGAAGGGGCCCAGGCAAGGGAAAGGGCCCAGGCACACACAGATGACCAACGGACAGCTCGCCCCTTGGCCCCCCGTCAGCCCCACGCCAAGAGGTGAGAATATGTACGGGCGCAGCACCGCGCTGGATGCGTAGCCTTCGGCTGGACAAGGCAGGGCCCCCTGGCTTAAATCTGCCAGCGAAACATCCTCACCACCCTGACTTAAAACTGCCAGCTCAATATCATCACACCCCTCGTTTCAAACTGCCAGTGAAACATCCTCAACATCCTGGCCTAAACTGCCAGCGAAGTATCCTCATCGCTCTCATTTAAAACTGACAGCGAAATATCCCCACGCCCATGGCCTAGAACTGTCCGCGCAAGATCCCCACAGCCCTCGCTTAAAACTGCCAGCGAAGTATCCCCCCACCCCTCGCTCAAAACTGCCAGTGAAATATCGTCACCGCCCTCGCTCAAACTGCCAACGAAATATCCTCACACCCATCACTTAACATTGTCAGTGAAATATCACGACTCCACTGGCTTAAAACTGCAAGCAACAGACCCTCACCGCCCTGACTTAAAGCTGCCAACGCAAGATACTCACACACCTCGCTTGAAACTGCCAGCGAAGTCCACACGGCGCCCACACTTAAAATGCCAGCGAAACATCCTCACACCCCTCGCAAAAGAAATTGCCAGCGAAATATCCCTCCCCCCCCCTGGCCTAAAGCTGCCAGCGGAATATCCTCACCGCCCTGGCTCAAAATTGCCAGCCTAATATCCCCACGCCCGTCGCTTAAAATTGCCAGCGAAATATCCTCACGCCCCTGGCCTAAAACTGCCAGCGAAATATCGTCACCACTCCGACAAAACTCTTTCAGTGAAACATCCTCACCGCCCTCGTTTAAAACTGCCAGCGACATATCCTCACCATCCCGGCTTAAAACTGCCAGCGAAATATCCTCACCGCCCTGACTTAAAACAGCACACGAAATATCTCAACACCCCGGGCTTAAAACAGTCCACAAACTATCCTCACGCCCCTGGCCGAAAATTACCAGCGAGATATCCTCAACACCCGGACTTAAAACTGCCAGTGAAACATCAGCACCGCGCTCGCTTAAAACTGCCAGCTAAAAATCCTCACGCGCCTGGCCTAAACTGCCAGCTAAGTATCCTCACTGCCCTCGCTCAAAACTGCCAGCGAACTATTCTCACACCTCTCGCTTCAAACTGCCAGCGAGATATCCTCACCACCCTGGCCTAAAACTGCCAGCGAAATGTCCTCACCGCCCTGACTTAAGGCTGCCACCGGAATATCCTCATCCCCATGGCCTAAAACTGCCAGCGAAACATCCTCAACTCCCTGACTTACCACCCCCCGAAATAGAACTGCCATCCAACGGCTGACAGAACGACCGACAGAACTGACAGCCGAATCGATTCAGCTGTCAGTTCTGTCGGTCAGTCAGTCAGTCAGTCAGCCAGTCTACTTCCCGAAAATCAGGTTATGGGCTGCGCCCGGGAAATAGACATGAATCTCAGGATCCCCCCTCGTTTCCAGATGTTCTGGATGCTCGTCTTCCCCTCCACTTCCCACATTTTCCGCATCCTCCTGAAAATCGACGATTATGTGTCTGGGTGTACGTTTTGTTCCCTCCTGCAGCGAAGCCCTCCGACCAGGAATAATAGATGTCCTCGCCATCGTGGTCGTCGACACGGGCCGCCGCAACGGGACGTCGGCTGCACGCAAGAGTTGCCCTACAGGCAGTGGCAGATCTTGCTGGTGAGATGTTCTACTGGGCTGATTCGTCGGCTCTACCCAGGTCCGAGGTACGTCCTGCTTTAGTGGAGCCCGCGCTCGGTAAGAAAAGTGCGGTGCTGAGGAGCGCACGTCGCGGGCTGCTTGACCGCTCGCGCTCGGCGAAAATGCAATAGAGGGCACGTCGCGGGCTCCTGAAACGCCCGCGCTCGGTGAACATGCAATGCTGGAGGGCACGCCGTGGGCCCACGAGACTCACGCGCTCGGCAAATGTGCAGTGCTGGATCTCACTCCGTGGGCTGCTGGAACACCCGCGCCCAGCAAACAGACCAGGCTGGAGCCCACGCCGCGGGCTTCTTGAGCGCTCGCGCTCGAGGAACATGCCATCCGGGTGCCCACGCCGTGGGTTTGCTGGAACGCCTCCTCCTCCTCCTCCTCCTTGTCCTCCTCCCCCTCCCCCTCCTCCTCCTCCTCCTCCTCCCTCCTCCTCCTCCTCTCCTCCTCCTCCTCCCCCTCTCCTCCTCCTCCTCCCCTCCTCCTCCTCCTCCTCCTCCTCCTCCTCCTCCTCCTCCTCCTCGCGCCGCGCTCGGCGGAAAAGCAGTGCCGGAGCGCACGTCGCGGGCTGCTGGAAGGCTCGCGCTCGGCAAAAATGCGGTGCTGGAGCGCACCCTCGTGTTCGGCATGAGCTGCTTGAGCGTTCGCCCTCGGAAAAAACACTGGAGCGAAGTCCCGCTTAGCGCTTTGCGCGTATAGAATATGGGTGTGGCGGGGTGACGAGGGCCGCGACGGGGGCTGGGGTTGCTAGCATTGTACTCGCGCCTCGCTCTCAAATAAGGCCGATTTCGCTTACATGCCCTGCCGCATGTGTCGCAACGCCACGTGCGTGTGGGTGACGAGCGGGTGCACGCGCGTGCGCGTGCGCGTGGCTAGGAAGGTCTGCGTGTATCCGTGTGTGTGTGTGTGCACGCACGTGCGCGCCAGCTCTTCGATAGAATCCAAAAGAACAAAAACGAGCGAGAACGATGACGAACAGGGACGGGGGGTCGGGGAACCAAGACGTATCCCCCAAACCGCCCCCGATAAATAAACTTGCTCGTTAAAATATCAGCAGCCACAGTCCGCCACCGTGCCTTGCGCACGTTGGGATGGGTTGGAAGTTGGAATACTCCGATGCTGTCTGGTGAGGTCCCCTGCCTGACACCCGCCCCGGAGGTTGTTTCGACGATCTGCTTGGCCGCCAGACAGCGCCAATACACCAAACTAGACCAACATGTCTCGAAAATAAAACTGCCGCAATACGGCCCAAGAGGCCCCCGATACAGCCCAAGAAGCCTCCCGTCGGTCTCTCAATCCGTTTCGCGCTCCCGCGGCTTCGGGCTTCGGACGGCCCAAGACGGCCCCAGATGCCTCCAAGACGGGCAGAGAGGCCCCAAGACGGCCCATGAGGCACTCAGTATACAGCCCCAAGACGGCCTAAGTATCTTCACAACGGCCCGAAAGCGCCCCAAGAGGGCCCCCAAACAGCCAAGAGAAGCCCCCGAGACGGCCTCCGAAAGAGTCAGGCGGGCCAAGGAAGTCGTAAAACAGCCCTCGAGGGCTCCAGAGGCCCTC